TGGAAAGTTGCTGGTCCGCGAAAAAGGCCGCACTAGAAAAGTTAAATTTGAAATCTTTTAGTCGCACATGAGCAAGAAACATCCCCTTAAAATTAAAGCCTTCAGCTTTTCCCGTTCCTGAGTTAACAGTCTTCCCATCAAAATTTTCGAGTGTCCGTAAGTGAGTACTGGACGGTTTTAAGGAGCTGGATTTAAAATCTTTTGGTCATACATGAGTAGGGAACAATACCCTAAAGTTTCAGCTTTCTAGCTTTTCCCGTTCCCGAGTTAGTAATTTTCGCACCAAAATTTCCACGCGCTCGTATGTGGGCACGGGCTCTTCCAAACACCTGATCTTGGTCCTACATGAGTAGGAAACATTCTCCGTATGTTTGAAATTTCTAGCTTTCCCGTTTTCGGGTTAGTGATTTTCGCGCCAAAATCTCCACGAGTTCGTACTTGGGCTCGTGCACTTCTAAACACCTGATTTTGCTCGTACATAAGTAGGGAACATTCCCCGAAAGTTTCAGCTTCCTAGCTTTTCCCGTCCTCGGGTTAGTAATTCTCGCGCCAAAATTTTCGCATGCCCATACATGGGCTCGGGCGCCTTTAAGCCTGATTTTGCTCGTACATGAGTGGGAAACATTCCCTTAAAGTTTCAGCTTTCTAGCTTTTCCCGTCTGAATTTTGCTCGTACATGAGTAGGAAACATTACCCCAAAGTTTCAGCTTTCTAGCTTTTCCCGTTCCCTGGTTAGTAATTTTCGCGCCAAAATTTCCACGCGCTCGTATGTGGGCATGGGCGCTTCTAAACACCTGATATTGGTCGCACATGAGTGGGAAACATTCCCCGAACGTTTTAGATTTCTAGCTTTTCTCGTTTCCGGGCTAGTAATTTTCGCACCAAAATTACCATGAGCTCGTACTTGGGCTCGGGCACTTCTAAACACCTGATTGTGCTCATACATAAGTAAGGAACATTCCCGTAAAATTTTAGCACCCTTGCTTTTTTCGTCCTCCGATTAGTAATTTTCGCGCCAAAATATTCACGTGACCGTATGTGAGCCCGGACGCTCTTAAGGAGCCCAGTTTGAAAACTTTTAGTTGTGGGTGA